CCTCCTTTTTGGCCACCCACTCTATCATTACCTGAAAAGTGTACAGCCAGGGATATCGAGCTGCCAATTCTCCCCTTGCTTTCTTTTAGCCAAGTCTCCAAGCAGCAACAATGCGCTGTTTTGTGTTTTATCAATGATGGAGTGTCCAGTCGCGACAGCAGCAATGCCAGGATGAGATCCCCTGGCAAGTGAGGAGTAGATCTCGGGCTTAATCCCCTGGTCCAGACTCGCAGGCTGAGCCCAGGCTTTTGGTGCATGGCTTTATATTCTGTGCTTTTGTTTAGTTTCAATCTTAAGATGGTGCTGGAGTGTGGTGACACTAAACAACACTTTTCACTCTGTAATAAATACACATGACAAATCTGTGCCCTTAATTCATCTGCCTTGTTTGTAATACTTCAATTGCAGTACCTGTCCATAATCTACCTCCTACTACTTGGCCAATTTCCTAACTGTATCGATCTTCCTCCAATTCCATTAGCTTCAACGTTCATTTCCTGTGAAGGGATGATGAGTCCGTCCAATATAAGATGACTGAACAAGTCAAGCAGGCTGTTTAAAAGCCATATGGAATCTTTAGCTTTATTACTAGATGTTTAGGACAGAAATTGTTATGCTCAACCTTCTTTCAAAAATAAATTCTGGAGTATTATATTCAATTCTGGATGCCTCACTTCAGAAAGGATACCTCCGAAAGGGTGCAGAGGAGATTTACTTGAATGGCGCCAGAGGCGAAGGGCTCCATTAAACTGCAGAATACGGGGTTGTTTAGAGCAGAGTACGTGAAGAGATTTGATCAAGATGTTCAAAACCATGAAGGGTTTTGACAGTAAATAAGGGAAACTTTTCCAGTGGCCAGTGAAGAACACAGATTGAAGGTAACACAGATTGAAGGTAACGCAGTGTAGAGCTGGAGGAGCACAGCAGGCCAGGCAGCATCAGAGAAGTAGGAAAGTTGATGTTCCGTGTTGGGAAGAAGGGCCCTGACCCGAAATGTCAGCTTTCCTGTTCCCCCAGCTCAACACTGTGTTATCTCTGACTCCAGCATCGGCCATTCTTACTATCACAGATTGATGGTGATTGGCACAAAGTCTGTTGGCAGCAAATTGGTCTGATCTGGACCATTCTATCTGTAAAGGTGATGAAAGTAGATTGTATATTAACAGAGAGAGAGGATTGGGTAGTTGAAGGGAAACAATTACAGTTGTAAGAACAGGGGATTAACTCTCAAAGGGCCAACAAAGGTTTGATGAGCTGAATAACCTCCAAAATCATCCCATGGTTCTGTTGGAATTTAGAAACTGGAGTAACCTTGAGAAATTCCAACCCCTAAGCCATTCAGCCTACTCCCACCTCTGCAACATTACCTACTTCTGGCCTTCTCGTAATTCATCTACTGTTGAGTCAATTACATTGCTGTGGATCTGTAACATAGACCAAGTGAGAATATCCAATTTTCTTCCCTAAATGACATTAGTGAACCAGGTGAGTAGTGGTAGTTGTCATGGACACCATCACAGAGACCAGCTTTATATTTAAATTCTACCACATACCGTGGTGTGATTTGAACCCATTCTCCCAGAGCGTAAATATTGGTCCTTGAATTAGTTATAGAAACAGAAGGTGCTGGAGAGTTCCAGCAGGTCTGGCGGCATCTGTGGAAGGAAAGATACTGAGTTAATGTTCTGAGTTTGATTTGATTCTTCTTCATAACTGCAATTCCTCTGAGTTTCTGAGAAACTTTTTGTTTTTATTTCAGGCTTCCAGCATCCGCAGCATTTTGCTTTTGTTCCTTGATATACTAGAGTCATATAGTCATACAGCACAGAAACAGAGCCTTCGGTCCAACTTCAGACCAGGTTTCCCAAACTAAACGAGTCCCATTTGCCTGCATTTGGCCCATATCCCTCTAAACCTTCCTTATTCATGAACCCGCCCATCATCCACCAGGTTTTTTTTCCTTCATCCCTGACTAAACAGAATCACATTGTATCCTGGATCACTGGCTGATTTAACCTGGTTCACTGATGTAACTAGATCACTAGCTAATTCAGTCATGGTCACTGGCTGATTTAACTAGACAATGGCTGATAAACTAGGATTATTGGCTCAATTGACTGATTGGCTGGCTGATTTAACCAGGATCACCAGCAGATTAAACCAGGATTATTGGCTGAATTAACTAGAACACTAACAACTTACCAGGCCACTGGCTGTTTAAATCATCACTGTTTAGCTAGGATCAGTGGCTGATTTAGCTCGATCACTAGTTGATTTAACCAGGTCACCGACTGATTTCACCTGGATCATAGGCTGATGTAACAACATCACCTGATCTAACTGGGATCGGTGGCAAATTTAACTAGATCACTGGATGATTTCACTGGGTAATTTGACCAGGGTCAAGGGCTAATTCCACTGGGATCACTGGCAGATTTCCAGGTCTCTGACCCATACATCGAGGGCATCCTGTGAAAGTCAGGAGAGAGAATAAGAACAGTAATGAGTTCAGTTATGATTCTCTTTGGTTGAACAACTCAATCCAGGTGTGCAGTATATAGACTGAGTCATTGGAATGCAGAGTCAAAATTCTCCCATCATTTTAAAATACTGTACGGACCATGGACATTACAGATCAACGACATCCCATAAACAGCTGAAGCTGGATAGTAAGCTAGAAATTGATAGCAAGGATGATGGGAGATATAGGCCAAGTAAGGCAGAGGCAGAGGAAGTGGAAGGAGTGTTGGAGGATGGATGGTGAGGTGAGGAAGTTTGCGTGAGGGGCGAGTGGAAAATGAGACGAGGAGAAATAGGTGGAGTGCTGAAACAGGAGCAGAGTACGAGGGGAAAGGAGACAGGAAGTCGGTGAGGGAGAGGGCAGGGATCAGAATGCGAGGTAGGAGCCAGGAGATTGATGGAGGACAATGGCAGTGCGGAAATCAGCTGACATCATGAGGTGGTGACTTGGCACTTCATGTGGTTTGGAGGGATGGGCCTGCCGAGACTTGCTCAAAACACTGTGACAAATAATCCAACTCTGTATCATAAAGAAAGCGGACAGGGGAACATGGCAGGAGGCTACAGACCTGGTGAGGGGTAGGCCTCACCACTTCCTGGGGAGCTCTGTACTCAGGCAGAAGTTGCAGGCTGGAGGTGGTGGCCTTGCATGAGAGGGAGAAGGAGATGTACAGCACCAAGGGGGGTTCTCAGCAGAGCACAATTCCTAATGCTCTTCGATTGGGCATCTGTGAATGCCCTTGATCACTAGTAACATGAGCATTACTGTACTGTCTCCTCCCTAATCCTGTCACCTCCACCAGCCCCAGAACATCAGTCTTTATATTCCCCAAATTCTAGCATCCGGCGCGTTCACAACATTGTTTGCATCATCGCTTCTCCTCCTCCATCTCCACACCTCCTCGTTTACTCGATCAAACATTTGTCTGATTTGTGAAGCGTTTTATATTATAAAAACGAACATGATTTGTAACGTTAGTGCTTCAGTCGGATCATGGCTAATCTGTATCTTTGACTCCATCCCACCCACCTTGATTACAGAAAACTGCCCCAGATATTTCTGAAATTTTTAATTGACCTTTTAGGCTCAGCAGCTTGAGGTGAGACTTGGGTGAGTCCCTGATTCCCACGATGCAGAGTTGCTTCCTGTCACCCTGATCCCTGGAATGAAGGGGTTTGATTTCAGAGGGAATGTGGACCAGGTTGAGCCTTTACCCTTTGGAGTTTTAAGGAATGAGAAGTGATCTTATTGAAATATATAGAGGGTTCTGAGGGGACTACACATGGTGGATACCTGGAGAATGTTCTCTCCCCCTCAGGAGAAGAGTGATGAAATGGGGAGCACACTTCTAAAATAAGGGATTTCCCATTTAGAATGGAGATGAGGAGGAATTTCTTCCCTGGGAGGGTAACTGCTCTTTAGAATTCTCTTCCCCAGAGAGCAATGGAGGTTGAGGCAATGAATATAGCCAAAGCTAAATTAGATTTAGATTTTATTGTCATGTATACTCAAGTACAGGAGTACAGTGAACAGTGTCTAATGTCATCATACACAACACCATTTCAGGTACAAGGGTACAAAACACTCAGGTAAAAAGTAGTAAAAGAAACAAAGTTAAAAAGTAAAGCATTACAGACCTTCATAGAATAGGTAGAAAATAAAGAACGTAATAGTTAACATTAAAGTCCTTCTTAATATAAATATTTTTGATTGATAAGGGAGTGGGGGAACTGACTGGAAAGCGAAATAAGGTCACAGTCAGATCAGAGATAGTAGGAACTGCAGATGCTGGAAAATTTGAGATAACAAGGTGTAGAGCTGGATGAACACAGCAGGCCAAGCAGCATCATAGGAGCAGGCAGGCTGACATTTCGGGCCTAGACCCTTCATCAGAGCAAGCTTGAGGGGCTGAATGGCCTATTCCTGCTCCTAAGATCTTATAGCCTCACCCCTGAACAGTCTGTCTGTTTTTAAATTTCTGCTTCCTTTTCCAACTCTGTCTGCTAGAAGAAGTACTTTCCATCTATGTTGGCTACTTCAAATACAACTAACACCTCTGCTCTGAAGAAAAGTCATACTGGGCACGAAACATTAACTCTGCTTTTCTCTCTTCACAGATGCTACCAGATCTGCTGAGTTTCTGCAGCGTTTTGATATTAATTTCAGATCTACAGCCTCTGCAGTATTTTACTTCCATCAATGCCTGGATATGATCATTCCCTAATTTCCTTTACCCAGGGTGCTATCTCTATACAACGACTAAATTGGTGATGATATGACAGTCCCAGCCTTTAGGCTGACACACTGCCCATCTCTCTCTCGCCGCCCTGTGCAAACAGAGGGATTGTTTGCACACCAGGAGGGTGCACTGTTGAACAAAAAAGCATTTCCCCAACACTGCTGATACTTCCTTGCAGACAGACACTTCCTCACAGCTTGTTTGTGTGTGTGAGACAGAGAGCATAAATCCAGAGCACGGCTGGTGGTGTGGATTACACAGTGTTGTGTTCATGGGAGGCAGATTACCAGCACCTTGCTGAATGAAAGGTGGACAAGGCAGCATTGTCTGTTCACCATATCCTGACAAGGTAGGGAATCCTTTATAAAATTTATTAACAAATAATTGCGCTGCTATCCCATGAGTGCAAACTTCAACCTGCATTTTGCAGCCAGATGCTTTAGGAACTAAAGACATCCCTAAAGAGGGAGTTTAAATGTTGAGACAAGCAGCAATGATTCTGCAGGATCATGACTAGTTTAATTTCTCATTTGGGTGTTTGCAACAAGTTGCAATCCTACTTCAACACCCTTTGTATTTTCTAATCGGAGATGTTACGAATGCTCCTAGCTATTTAGGTTTCCAAAGTTCCAGCTGAAATTTGCCAAAACTCTTAATGCGGCGTGCTGAAGCTAATACTGAATGTGTGTAGGGTGGACTGTTTGTTCAAGGTGGGACAGAATACTTTATGACTTTTGGATACGTTATGACACCCCTCTGTGGCCATTGAAGTGGGTTTTGAGGTAGGGATACTACCACTGTGCCACAATACCCCCCTTTCAGATTACTTTATTTGTTGATTAATATGCGCATCTCTTTTTCTGGCGAGTGTTCCTGCATGAGAGTTGAATAGAGGAAAGTGTGTGTTGTTACATAAGACGATACCGGCACGGGACCCAGGTTCTTGTGTGCCCGTGTCACAGACCAATGGGGATATCAGTCGGGTGTTTTCTTTGACCTGATTGTTTCGGGGCGTCATCGCTGTTGTGGCAGGAGAGACGCTGTTTGTTTGTATGTCGCCAGTGCTTCTCAGGCTCTTTCCCATGTTGCAGCCCTTTGGAGGACATGGGGCGACGAGATGGGTATGGTGGAAAAAGACTGCAAGTGGAGGCCTGGCCTGCTAGAGTCGCAGGGCAATAGTCACAAGTTGGTCAGAGCTCCGCGGTAGATATTGCTTGCTTTGAGTTTGTGACACCAGCATTTCAGCTCACCGCACCTCATTTTGGGAATCCCTGATCTAAGCAGACATGGTGCATAGAGAGGGGGAGACACTGATCTTGGCGTCAAGATGCATATCTTGACTTTGGAGGGGCTGCAGTCTGGATTGATCAGTCAGAGAGTCATGGAGTTGCACAACACAGAAACAGACCCTTTAGTCCAACTTGTCCATGCCGACCAGATATCTTAAATTAATCTAGTTCCATTTGCCAGCATTTGGCCCATATCCCTCCAAACCCATCCAGATGCCTTTTAAATGTTGTAATTGTACCAGCCGCCTCCACTTCCTCTGGCAGCTCATTCCATACACACACCACCCTCTGTGTGAAATAGCCGCCCCTTAGTTCCCTTTTAAATCTTTCCCCTCTCACCTTAAACCTATGCCCTCTAGTTTTGGACTCCCCCACCCTGGGAAAAAAACCTTGACTGTTCACCATATCCATGCCCCTCAAGATTGTATAGATCATCCCTCAGCCTCCGACACTCCAGGGAAAATAGCTGCAGCCTATTCAGCCTCTCCCTATAGCTCAAACCCTCCAACCCTGGCAACATCCTTGTAAATTTTCCCTGAATCCTTTCAAGTTTGACAATGTCCTTCCTATAGCAGGGAGACCAGAACTGAATGCAGTATTCCAAAGGTGACCTAACCAATGCCCTGTACAGCTGCAGCATGACATCACAACTCCTATACTCAATACACTGACCAATCTTGGCAGTGCTAAAAGGATTAAATTATAACAATAGGTAACCCATAAAATGTAGGTGACCTTTGGTGATTTAATCCAGGTGGTTTCAGATGATGAAAGGAATTGATCGAGGTGAGAAAAGAAACTATTGCCTCTCGTCTGGGATATCCAGGTTAAGGGGACATAATCCCTCTTCAAGTTAGAGCTGGGCACATGAGGGGTTCTAGCAGGAAACACTTCTTCGCCCAACGGGAGTGGAAATTCACAGTATTTACTTCAAAGAGAAACAGGCAAGTTGGCCAGTAAAAGAAAAAATTTAAAACTAGATAGATCCCTGTTGAGGGAATGGTAATGAAGGTTACTGAACAAAGGCAATGGACAAAGTTAATAAACAGATAGCAAAAATCCAAGTTAATGACCAAACAGGGTCCTGTTCTAGTGGCATGTGGTTCTCGACATCTTCCAATTAGAATATTATTTGCTCAAAGAAAAATATCCAATGCATCATTCTCCGACACTTCCACCATCTGCAATCCGACCCCACCACCAAAGACATTTCCCTCCCCACCCTTATCTGCTTTCCGGAGGGACCACTCTCTCCGTGACTCCCTTGTCCGCTCCACACTCCCCTCCAGCTCCACCACACCCGGCACTTTTCCCTGCAACCGCAGGAAGTGCTACACCTGCCCCCACACCTCCTCCCTCACCCCCATCCCAGGCCCCAAGAAGACTTTCCACATCAAGCAGATGTTCACCTGCACATCTGCCAATGTGGTATACTGCATCCGCTGTACCCGTTGTGGCCTCCTCTACATCGGGGAAACCAAGCGGAGGCTCGGGGACCGCTTTGCAGAACACCTACGCTCGGTTCGCAATAAACAACTGCACCTCCCAGTCGCGAACCATTTCAACTCCCCCTCCCATTCCTCAGACGACATATCCATCCTGAGCTTCCTGCAGTGCCACAACAATGCCACCCGAAGGTTGCAGGAACAGCAACTCATATCCCGCTTGGGAACCCTGCAGCCCAATGGTATCAATGTTGATTTCACAAGCTTCAAAATCTCCCCTCCCCCTACCGCATCCCAAAACCAGTCCAGCTCGTCCCTGCCTCCCTAACCTGTCCTTCCTCCCACCTATCCCATCCTCCCACCTCAAGCCACACCCCCATCTCCTACCTACTAACCTCATCCCGCCCCCTTGACCTGTCCGTCCTCCCTGGACTGACCTATCCCCTCCCTAACTCCCCACCTACACTCACCTTTAATGGCTCCATCCCCACCTCTTTGACCTGTCTGTTTCCTCTCCACCTATCTTCTCCTCTATCCATCTTCTATCCGCCTCCCACTCTCTCCCTATTTATTTCAGAACCCCCTTCCCCTCCCCCATTTCTGAAGAAGGGCCTAGGCCCGAAACGTCAGTCTTCCTGCTCCTCTGATGCTGCTTGGCCTGCTGTGTTCATCCAGCTCTACACCTTGTTATCTACAGAACTATGCTGTCCACTGGCTTCAAACATCAGTGGGGATTTAATATTGTAAGTGGTTAGCACCATTTAAAGGCAGTTTGTATCTTGGGGAAATGCATTGTGGCTGCAAAATAAACTAAGTCCTCTACGAGCTGAATCTCTGCTACAAAAGATTGAAGAAAGGCTGGGCATGTGAGAGAACTTGCCGCAAAGTTTTCTCATTATGTACTTGAACGACGGATATCAAGTAACTTTTTCACACAGACGGTGGTGCATGTATGGAATGAGCTGCCAGAGGAAGTGGTGGAGGCTGGTACAATTACAACATTTGAAAGGCATCTGGGTGGGTATATGAACAGGAAGGGTTTAGAGGGATATGAGCCAAATGGTAGCAAATGGGGCTAGATTTATTTAGGATATCTGGTCGGCATGGACGAGTTGGGTCAAAGGGCAATTGGGGATGGGCAATAAATGCTGTGTAGCCAGTGACTTGCAAAGCCTTAAAAAAACTTCAAGGTTAGGTAGAGTGAATGTTAGACATAATAGATACACTGTACTATCTCATAGACTGTGTATCAGAATTACTGTAGGAACACACTGAACTGCATTGACTGTATTAACGCCCCATCCTGTGGACTGAGAGACTGGATTACTACAGGAACACCCTGTCCTTTGGAGTGTGGGACTGGATTACTTTAATGGGTTATGAGCAGTATATACAAGTGTCTCAGACAATCGCTGGCAATATAAATGTTGAAATGTTATAACACCAACATGAGCTGAAGGCCTCTATCTCAATTGTGGAATATTTCTGTTGAAAGACCCAATAGGTCCTTCTATCTTTTCATCTTGTAAGAGTATAGCACTGACACTCACATCACTTGCATTGATAGCCACCTTGAATGGCTTTGTGTAATTGGACGCGGCTAACACTGGGGCAGTGGTTAACACAAGTTTCAGGCTGTCAAATGCCTTCTGACAATCCGCCATCCGTTGAAATGTTCTGCATTTCTTCAATAAGTCAGTCAGTGGAGCAAACACACTGCTAAAATTTGATACGAACTTCTGATAAAAACCACTCAATCCCAGGAATCATTGTATTTCCCTCTTCATCGGTATATGGGAAACTCCCCAATAACCTTTGTTTTTACACTCTGTGGGGCTACCTGTCCATGTCTAATGACCTGGCCCAGGAACGTGACTTGGGCTTTTGCAAATTCACTCTTAGCCACGTTTATTACAAAATCGATCAGACAATTCCAATAGATGTTCCAAATGTTCCTTCCATGTGTGACTAAAATTCACAGATCGTCAATGTACACCACACAATTCGGTAATCCCAAAATGACTTTATTGGTTTGTCTTTTAAATGTGGCTGGCGCATTTTTCATACCAAATGGCATGACTTTAAATTAGTACAGTCCCTTCGGTGTCATAAAAGCAGAAATTTCCTTTGCTCTTTGGATAAAGGTACCTGCCAGTATCCTCTGAGTGAGTCCAACTTAGAAATATAAGTTGCTTGTCCCACCTTCTCAATATAGTCTTCTAAATGTGGAATAGGATTTGAATTGGATTTTTTAATTACATTGACTTTGTGATAGTCCACACACAATTGTTGGGTACCATCTGGTTTTGGTACCATTACTATGGGTGAGCGCCATTCACTGCAACTCACTTTGATTATATTGTCTTTGAGCATGCGTTGAATATCTTTTTGAACCTGTTCCAATTTTAGAGGGTTTAGTCTATAAGGATGTTGCTTAATTGGAACAGCATTTCCTATATCTACATCATGCAAAATCAGATTAGTAGGTCACAGCATATGCCCACATATCTCCCCATGTTATAGTAATAACTCTTTCAGTGCAGTTTGATTTTCCTCTGGAAGATAACTCAATAATTTTGTCTCAATTTTTGAGAACTTCCTCATTGTCCAAGTTA